AAGAGAGATAGTGTTGTTGTATGGAGAGAGAATTTTATTTTTTTAAGGAAAATAATTAAAAGAATGGGAAATGAAAAGACGTATCTAGAATGAAGATATTTACTTGGGTGGGTATAGGTGAGGTGTGGTGTGGGGTGGGGTGGGGTGTTGATAAGTACGTTTTTACAAACTTATTTTACTGTCAAAATATGAGCAATTGTTGATTAATATGTTGGAATATAGTTTAATTCTATGCAATTCATGGTTTGCAAGACAACTGATGAATGTAGCGGAAATAAGGAGAAACAAATGAAAAATAACCAAAATGGAAGAAAATGAAAGTTCAGGGACTAAAGTACAAATACTCAAAAACTATGTCGGGGCTCACGATGAAGGTTCGAGAGTGCTAAGGGTCGATTGGAAGCAATTAGAAGTCAAAAAAGAATGAAATATTATCAAAATCAATTTCCAATTTGCACAAGATATATTCTAGATTAACCGAATATTGAGACTCATTTTTGGCATAGTAAAAGTCCGAACTGGAAAAGAGCTATTTCTAACAAAGTTACAAATATTTGAGTTATCTTTCTAACTCATTTTGAATCGTCTAAATCGGATATCAAAAGAGAAATTTATAATCAAATTATTGACTGCTATGCAGAGACAAACAATCCGAGCGCGAAAGCAACTTTCCTTATTCGATTAGAACTCTTTTGGAAACCAATTTGGACGTGATTTTCATCCAATTTCAGACTCTTAAAAATACTTAACAACATAATACATATGGAGGAGGCCCCCATACACAATTCTACTCTTCTTTGGCTCAAGAAACACATGAGAAACTAAAGATTTTGGTGAAGTTACGAAGGAACTCGATTGGAATTGGTGATTTCATGTCTTTTATTCATTTAATTTGATTTTTTCATTGTCAAACAATCTTAAAATTTAGATTTTCATTCTCTTGAATTTATATTGAAATCAGTTTAATATTTACAAGATTTTTCATAAATTCAGTCATGCTTTTTCCATTGTTGAATCAAACTATTTATTAAGTTTTAATTTCAATTATTTATTGTTGAGATTGGTTTAACAATTATTATATCCTTCATAGATCCAGTCATGATTCTTCTATCGTTAGATAAACTAGTTGTTGAATTTTAATCTCAATTTCACTTTATTGGCAGATTGATTACTGCCTTATGCTTGATGTATATGGTCGATCTTTGATCTTATTCCAATAAAATTGTGCGAATATGTCTTAAGTCTAAATTCTAGAATTACATTTGTAAATTAAATTGATTTTCACGATATATCTTCCGATTAGAGTGCCGGAATGAAAGCCTCTAATTGTATTATAAAAATGAATAATTGATATGATTGATCCAATCCAATTGAGGAAATTCCGACGCTTCACTGCTTCGAATTATTGATTTTAATTTCACCTTTCAATATTAAATTTTATTACACATTTGAGAGAATAATTCAACATTTTTGATCCTTTAAATATTCTTCCATCTTCTTGTGGATACGACACCCCAAAATTGTGCCACAACCACCGCATTATTCTTTGGGCATAATCGGGTGTTAGAGAGAGAAAGCATCTAACTAATAGAAATGGGAACAATGAAACACGTTAATATAATATATATTTTATATATAATAATAATTTATTTAGTACCTGATTTTTGAATAAAATTTGTAGTAATCCGATTTTTGATGATGAAATGTTAAATTCACGTTTTCGTGTTATTTTCTCCAAGTGATATGCTATTGAAAAAGCCCAATAAGGCCCAGTTATGTTGTTGGCTTGTAACAATCAATTCATGAAAATATACTTTAGCACAAAGCACAACTTTTTCTTCTCCTTTTGAGCAGAGTCTACATTGTAGACCAAAGAAGTCATACACTCACTTCATTTTCACGTATTTTTGCAACAGTTGCACTTTCCACCCAATTGTTAGGAAAATGGTCGAATTCTAGACCAAAGAATAGAGGCACACTCTAAAGTAGGGATGACAATGGAACGGGTTGAGACAACCTCCCCCACCCCCTTCTTAACAAGTAATTTTCCGTCCCGTTACCCGTCCGGTGTAGGGCGGGGCGGGGTTGAGTACCCCTTTAATTTTTATATTTATTTTTCATAATTCATTTTATCGTCTCTATTCATTAAAGTGAGACAATAATATATTTATTATTTTTATTTATTTTTAAAAATTAAATTATTCAAATATATTTACTATGCTTAATTGAGTCTCGACGATCGAAATTCGCAATTCCAAGAATATTGTAGTAGGAGTTTTACCTGTGTACAAGAATTCAAATAAATATTTCTGGATAGGGATGACAAAAAAGCTCGTTCAACTCGAAATCCGTGGAGCCCCGCCCTTACGGCGTGGGGATTACTCGCCTAATTAAATAAACAGGGCGAGGATGGGGCGGTTCATTGTCCCGAAGTGGGTATGGGGCGGGTACAGGAATCATTGTCCCCCGCTCCGCTATCCGTCCCGTATAAAATTAATTTCAAATTTAAATTTTTTATCAAATAAAAATAATAGATTTATCATATTTTTAAAGAGAACATAAATTGTTTCTAAAAAATTGGTAAAAAAGTAATAATATTTACGAAGTAAAGACATAAAAAAATAAATGGGGCGATAAATGGGGCAAGAGACCTGCCCCGAACCCAACCCGTCCCCTCCCGCTTTAAACGGGTATGAGGATGTGGTAATGTAACAAAAATACCATATGGGATGGAGTGGAAATGACCGCCCCGTCCCATACTCTCCCCGCTGTCATCTCTATTTCTGGAGCAATCATGCATATACGTAAGATGAGGACATAAGAGAAAGAGTAACGATATTTGTAAATACGATTGATGTGAAATTACTGATACATTCTCCGGTAAAGTTGAGAACTTTTTAATTCATTGAAAATGGGACAGTAATTTTAGTACCACATAGACGATCTCCCATCGTTTGTGCCTACAAACACCATTATTTTAAAGAGAAGTAATTTTGATTCATGTATTCCAATAGATGTAAAGTCGGAAAATATATGATATTTGTTTGATGGGAATTAAAATCAGATTTTTAATAGATTTTAAAAAAAATAATTAAATATATGGTTGAAAAGTTGTGGATCCCATAAAAACATATGAATAAAATTAATTGTTGATTTTGATTTATATTAATCTAAATTTTAATCCCTACCAAACATGTGCACAGACTTCTTTTACGTCTCTCCAAATAGACTCGACTTTTCCAAATTATCTTTTTGAATAGATGCAACTTTTCTCACACATATTTAGNGGTCACTGAAGTTTAAATTTCTTTCACAAACGGTCACTGAATTTTCAGATTTTTTGGGCAAGTTTTGCGGCGATTTTCCGGCAACTTCCGACCACCAAGACCGCCGAATTTGGATACCGTTGGAAAGCCCACAATGTTCTCTTTAATTACCACCAAAAATCTCCCCATAACTCTAAGGGATTGGGCCGAAATATATCCACGAAGCCGGCTACCTTGGGCGAGTTTGCGGCAATTTTCCGGCAACTTCCGACCACCAATACCGCGGTTTCGGATACCGTTGGAAAGCCCACAATGTCCTCTTCAATTATCACCAAAACTCTCCTCATAACTTCAAGGGATTCGGCCGGAATAAACCCACGAAGTCAGCTACCAAAAAAATCTGAAAATTTGCCTAGTTTGGGTAGCTGACTTCGTGGTTTATTCCGGCCGAATCCGTTAGAGTTATGGGGAGATTGTTCGTGGTAATTGAAGATGACATTGTGGGCTTTCCAACGGTATTCAAAACCGGTGGTATTGATGATTGGAAGTTGCCGGAATATTGCCGCAAACTCGTCCTAAAAATCTGAAAATCTGGGCAGATTTTTAGATTTTTCGGTAGCCGACTTCGTGGGTATATTTCGGTCGAATCCTTTGGGGTTATGGAGAGATTTTTGGTGGTAATTGAAGAGGATATTGTGAGCTTTCCAACGGTATCCAAATTCGACGGTCTTGGTGGTCGGAAGTTGCCGGAAAATCGCAGCAAAACTTGCCCAAAAAATTTGAAAATTCAGTGACCGTTTGTGAAAGAAATTTAAACTTCAGTGACCGTTTCTGCAGGTTTTAAACTTTAGTGACCGTTTTGTGATTTTCAGGTAACTTCAGTGACTGTTTGTGAAATTAACCCTTTTCCATATTTAATATGGACAAGAATCATGCTACACAAATAGGCTCAGCGATAGAGATTAAAAAGTGACAGTGATTAAAAATAGAGAGACACGCGACGTAATATTATTGGACAGTTAAAAAAAAAAAAAAAAGACAAACCTCAGCTACAGCGCCTGTCCCTGCACCTATTTGCAATCCATGTTTGAGTAGCATATGGACAATCAGTTTGTTTCATAATTATTTGGAAAATTATTCTAACATCCTCATAATGATAACATTATTCATTATTTTTTTATATAATAATTTAAAATTGACTAGGAACTATTAGGGAGTAAACACTAGTCTCTCCACTAGATTTCCTTTATTAGCCCCCGTTTGAACCACCTTATTTTTTCATTAAAATGAAAATATGACCATTATCCATCACATCAACATTTAAATTCAAATTTTATATCTCTTGTGTAAGTTCTAATAACGGCTATATTTTTCATTCTCATTATACAAAAAGGTGGCTCAAATATTCATCCAAAATCCTGTCTCAAATCAACATATTCCCAACAATCCAACGCTGTTCCAAGGGTTTGTTTGAGGCCCATTCTTTCTTTTTTTTTAAATGTATTTTATAATAAGAGAGATTTTTGGATTTGCATTTAATATTATTTTATTGAACAACGTGTTGTCGTAATTGATCAAATCGCTATTCAATAATACATTTTGATGGAATAAATGAGACGAAAAGGGGATCTCCTTCTGCACGTGAAATCATTCTATGCCCATCCGCCTAATGTGCTGAAGTGGCTCATGATGATCAGACTATTCCCAAGGAGCCTTACCGATCAAGTTATGGAACTATGTATTGCATTGGAGATCACACGAGGAAGTCAATAGCATATTAGAGTGAGGGAAGGAACAGATTCTCAAACAAGGGCTTGTGTACACAGTATATATCAATGGGCATTCGTGCTTCATCTCACCTGATCTCAAGGCGTGGTGGCGTGGATTCGCCGTCAGCCAAGGTGGTGCACTTAGATGGGCTACTGCAAGAATTCCAGTGCGTAATACGGCGGCGGAAGTCCTCTCCCTCAACCGAAACTGCATTTGCAGCTCCGACACCATGTACATCAATTCTCTGCCACCGAAAATGGCCCCCAGACGACGTATTGAAAATTGGCCAAATCTACTTCCTGATGCCAATCTCAAAATTACAAAATCCTCCATCCTTGCAAGACCTTTGTGCCCTAGCCATCAAGGCTTGCACAGCACTTCACAGTTCATCATTTCTTCCTACAAGGGCCCCCATTTGCTTCGACATCGTTTCATTCTAGTGTAATTTCTTGACAGAGCATGTTTGGCCATTCTTAAAAGTATATCAAAAAGTTAATTTTGAAATAGTTTTTTATTTCCAAAAATTCAAATTCAAATTAGTCCTAGACATGACTTGTAAACCAAGAAAGTTTTCGACAAGAACCTGTAATCTAGATTCAAGAATTGAGTCAATGACCACCACTTCATATAACTAAGCAATCAGATTCAACATAATCAAGAAAGTTTTTGACACAAACATTTAATCCATGTTTGTATTCAAGGATTGAGTTCGGTTACCATCTATTTCATAACTAACCAATCCTAGCTTCGACATGTCTTATAAATAAATCTTAGTTTCAACAGTAATCAAGAAAGTTGACAACACTAACATAAAAAAAACATGGGGATATACATAAATACCATTTCATCCACAACCATAATTCACATCGGGTGTTGAGACACTGGCCTCGAATGGAATTTCGACCCTCTCTTTAACAACACACCTCATTTCACCATTTTCCAACACTGGGACCTTCCCAGGTGGACATTCTAAGGCTGTATCCTTATCATTGTTCCGATGAAGTTGAAATAAGTCCAAAATCTTAAAATGATTACCCCTTTTTCTTACACTTGGCTCAAAACCAGCCAGACGCAAGATAGAGATCACTCCGATGATAGTAAGTGCTGCTTTGGCTGCTGTACCAACTAATACTCTTGCCCCTTTAAATGGACTCCTTGACTCATTATGCGTCTGGGTTCTATCTGATTTGTAGAAATCTTTTGGCCCACCCCTTATTGACTCGTTTTGAGAAAACTTGTGAGTGGAGAGGAAGGATGAGAGATAGCCATTGTCTGAAACTAGGGAATGAGAAGGCCGGCTTGGATATGGCGGAAGGAGGAGATCGTTGCTGTCCTCTGTTTCACTAGCAAATGAAATAGCCTCATGTATAACGTCCAAGTCCGTGCCTTTATATTCCTTTAGCTCTTTGAGTAACTTTTTCTGGCTGTACTCGATCTCGGCTAAGGCTGCTTCTTTCTCATACCATTGCTGCTGCTGAAGTGCCTAATGAACATAATAAAGAAAGCTTTAGCACTTCTATTGATAAAAAAAGAGAAGGTATACGATAGCTTGTGTCTGCTCAGCTGTCACTTAATAAAGAAAACCATCAAGTTGGTTGAGCATATAGCAATATATTTATTTACTGCAATCAGCAAGCAAGTTTTTTGAGTCAACTCAAGCTGTGATTGCCTTTGGATTGAGCTATCTTAAGCTCAAGTGCTGTGGAATACTAGTTTGATCCAATTGAGTGAGCTGGCTCACAGATTTAGATATCATAAATTGAATCATCATTAACTTAACACCGAACATGTTTCCCAAATCAAGCTCAAGCATGAAGTTAGCCCTTGTTTGTTAAAACCTTTTTTTGAAAAGCAGTTTTTTTGGAGAATTTGTGGTTAAAAAGTAGGGAATAGATATGGAAAAATGTGATAAAAGATTCAATTTGGAGAATGTGTGGTGAAAATGAGTGCAGGGAAAAACTTTTCAATTGAGTTTTATAAAACAAGGGCTTAATATTTGTACTTGACCAACTATAAGGCACGTTCAACTCGTTTGCATCCTTACGCACCTAATAATGTGGAAGTGCTATATTCAAAGTTAAGTCAAGGTCACAATAACTTCACGAATCAGCTCTCTCAAACACCGACAATAATTAGCTACAAATAGCCAAAATAGCTTTGCAGATTTGGGTAGTAGCATCTTGAAACATTTTTGATGTCCACATATGACACTTAGCCAGTTGGATGATACTCGGAGCCATATCCCATATGTATAAACCTAAACCCTATTGAGATTTTGCTATAAAGAAAATTTTGGTTTAGGGCATAGATTAGAGCACTGTCTTGAGTTCTTGAGGGGGAGGTGTTTATTGGTGTTCTGTCAACATATTAATAATAACCCTTTAATTTTCATTTTCAGTTTGATACATTACGCAATAATAGTCAAAGTAGCACAGAATCCACTGGCAACAAAATCTAGCAAATATTCACTGAGACAATTTCAAAATTTCATGTACCAATACAAATTCGTTTACGCTAGAAAAGTTTCATTATAATGATGAATCTGTCTTTTCTTCATACAAACATTATATTCAATGCACCTGAATCTTACAATTCATTTCGACTTACAAACAGCTAGGAATTATGTTAGTAAACTCTATTGAAAACAATCTCAAAGTTCTTTCTTGGTTTAAAAAACACCAAAACAACTTTTAAGGATCCTCAAATATATATGTTGCACATTCACTGCATTTTAAAGATTTTCCCCAACCACCATTGAATTTTATTTCATTGATCCCACACTCACCATCAACTGCGCCTTGATCACATGTTTCAAATCCTCCTACATTTTATATGTGGTTACATGAACCATCAGAAGAAAAAGGGCACCAGCAAGGAAACCCCTGTCCTCCAAAAATTGAAATTCGAATAGTTGAAAGTGTTTTACGTTGTCACCAATTTCGACCGACCTTTACGGGACTTTTGAAGCAGGGTTGATCGACTCGAAAGATAGAGATATTAGAAAATGTCCTGAGGTGCAATGCTCGGAAATGTTGTAGCTGATTAGTCCAAACAATGTCAATTGACCATGCTCTAAGGCAATCTGCCTTGGCAAAGTTAGACATTGTAGTAATGTGGAATAGTATGAGTACCTACATTTTCAGACACCATGAAGAAACTTCACGATAGGCCAGTGTGTCTATTGTATCCCACTTAGTTTTATTTTCTAAAGATTTCAGCAATTTCACTGTAGACATTGCAGTTTCTAAATTTACAGAGAGGCAACATATAGTCTTCACTTATTTATCTGTAAATTATTACATTTTTTACCATGCAAGAAAGGAAAAATGTAAAATCTTTCCTACATATCCAGGCCCCAAATTGAACAAAATTTTACCTTTTGCAATATAAGAAAATACCTGAATTATTATTAGCCATGATAAAGCATTAGGCCCTTCTAGGAACTACCCATTGATCCTAAACCCTAGAGTTATGAACTTAATCTCAATTCATTCAATAACAAGAACCCATCTGAAATTTCAAGATTACGGATTTCTTGAAAAAACCCTAAAAATTTCGTTGCAAAATATATAGCTAAATTCAAGATTTAGTTAGAAAATCAAGAAGGCACCTGCAAAGAAGATAGTTGAGCTTCGAGGGATTCAAGGGCATCTCGAATATCGAGAAGATTCTCTGTTTCTTCATCCTCGTTTTCTTGATTTTCTGCATCCGGGTTATCATTTTCTTTCACTCCTTTTTCCACATTAGCAGAAGCTTTGTGAATGCAATTGATGATCTTGGACCTCAACTCTGAGGTTCTTGCCAACACTAGCCCTATTCTATCTTCATCCATCTTAATCCTCTTTCAGTGTTTGTTGTGTGTGTAATTTTTGTTTCAAGTGAATTTTGATAGGTTAGGGAAATGTTTGAAAGTTGCTGCAAAGAAAGGCCAAAACTTACACGATTTCAACAGTTGTGCAAAGGCTGAAAAGAGCCAAAACAATTTGACCTTTTTCTTTCTCAGACCTGAATTATTATTTATGCCTAAAAGAAACTTAGAAATTTTGTATGGCTGAGGATGAATTTAGCAGGTTTCTGCCCACCCCTCTTCTTCTTTGTCCATTTAAATAAATTTTAGTATCTATGTTTGTCTAATTTATGTCCACTTTGCTTCACTAAGTACGTCATTTCTATTGGTGGATATTCCGTGCCATTTTTGGGAAAATGGCAACTGTTATATTGTCGATCTAAACAAAATTTCTAATTTTTTATCAAATTTATGTCAAAAAATTCGCGTAACTCACCTATCAATACAAAAGTGTGCTACATGTACATATACAAGGGATATACACTTGTCTCCCTAGACATGTACATCTTCATATGTGAAGTACAGCTTCATATGCGAAGCGCATCAAGAAAACCATATGGAGGCAGTTGAAATGAATTCTTTAAATTAATCACATGACAAAAGGAAGTGCTCAAGCTAGTAAAGAAACAGCTAATTACAAATAACACTACAATCTCCACTCTGTCATTTATTAGTGAAGTTGCAGCTATTTGGAATGGCAGTTGAATCACATTTAGATGCTTTTAAAGATACTATAAATTGGTGATAAACTAGAGAAGCTCGATCACAAATAAGTATAACCAATGTTAATCACTTCAAGTTCTCGAGCCAATTTCCTTCATTATTCTCCAAAATACACCCTCAAATGCAAGATTCTTGATCAAAAGTTTAGTTATATGATTCATCTGTCATTCAAATCTGCACGATGAAATTTTATCAGACGATGGAGGTGTGAAGTCTGCGTCACCTCACTGATGACCTTTAGAAAATTGCAAATGTTGGGATCACTTGATGAGTTCATATGAAAGCAAGAACCGGAAAGTAAAATTGTGAGGAATCCATTCGATTTTCTTCCATAGTTTTCCATGCTGAGGCTTCTGAAAGTTCTCTCTCAAAGAATCGAGCATGGAATGCTCAATCACTTCTGCAATACCAGCAGGATACAAGCCCATCTCCTTCATAAAATATTCAACATTCTTTGGCACGAGTAATCTTTGTTCTTTATGTAGCTTGACATTTGACTGAATGTACTCTTCTTTCGCTACTTCCAGTTCTTGGAAAACTTTTTTGGGTGTATATAAACGAACCTGCAAAAGATTACAAGTTACTTTGAAGAAAATTGGTAGCACAGTCCACCTTACTAATCAAGTGCATGTGCTTGACAGGATTAAACGCTAGAATTAACGAAATTTTAACTTATTTTTCTTGTTAATATTGTCTGTGCTGCATAGTCCACTTTACTAAACAAGCCACGAGAATTTTAAAACAAGGAGTTATTAGCTCATGGCTAAAAAATTCAATGCTTACTGCTGGATCCGATTGACATCCCAAGCAGAGTGCAAAGTGTAGACGAGCTTCTGGATGCTGTATTGCATATGCCTTCTGAGAGTCTCCGGCTTTAAACTTTGCCTTGGGAAAGAATAATGATTGTAGCCACTACAAGTAAAATTTGCGTTTCATTATTCTATGAAGACATGTTAGTTTAAACTTTTTTGAGTTGCATGAAAATTGAGAAAAATCTTAGCTAAATATACAAGAACATTAAGCGAGTAATTTTGTAAACTAATTTCGGGTTTACTTGAGCTGGACGTGGTAATCTGCATCCCAAAATAGAACTCTGCATTATGTCAATGCTTACAGTATGACCTCCAATGTTATATGCAGCCTGGATCGTGTGAGAAGGTATTTAGACGAAGAAGAAAACATAGAAATGAAAGAATATGCCACAATTCTTCAGAAATTATAAATAGCTTCTTGTTACCTTGAGGACGAGAGAGAACCTCTTAAGATTTCCTCGTGGAATACCGTAAACCAAAAATGCCTGTTGCATAAATGAGTCACACATGATTTCTTCCTCATACTGTAGGATAATAAAAATGGAAAAAACTGAATTCTTACGTGCATCACCAGTGCGTTGTGAACATTAATCCAGAAAGCTAATTTCTCTTCGTGCTTCAGTTTCCCGGGATCAACTTTTGCCAACTTAGAAATGAGAAACCTGAAATCAAGTAGTAACGATGTTTCAGAGATACGACAACTTTTAAAGGACTAAGAGCGTCTTTGGCTAAGCTTAAAAGTAGCCAAACACAGTAAATTCAAATCCAGATTGAAAATCTGTGTTGATATTAATAAGTCAGAACCAAGTAACATATAATCTCACTTCAAGTTGTTAACTCAAAAGAGATAAGCAGCAGCTCAAATACGTAGAAACTAAAAGATTAAGTACCTAAAATTTTGTAGCAGGTCTTCGATAGCATTTAGTCTTTGGCTATCTCTAAGAATGCCTCGAACTTCAACCATTGCGAAGAAAGGACCAGAAAATTCTTTAGATGCTCCAATATACAAAGTACTGTTCATCCATGTATTTTCTTCACATTGCCTCTGAGAAAATTTACTCACTGGGGATGAATGTGAAATAGCTGAACTGAATTCAGGATTGATCAAAGGTGAGTCAGAGAGATGAAAATATATAGTTGACATGCACTTAATCATCTCCTCGGAAAGCCAATTAGGTGTTTCTCGAGCACGATCAGGAAAACTGGAATCAGGTTGCTCTGCCAAACTGGCACTCGAAGTCGAGCCCTGAGCCCTCTGGTAAAAAACCACAACAATACACAATTTAATAGTCTTTAACTAAATTTCATCTTTTAAAAGTCACTTTTAAGCTACCTTTCTTTGCCACTACCTCCAACATTGATAAAGGTAAAGAATGGTACAAGTCTACAGCTTCAGAAATAGTTTGAGACGGAGAAGTTCTGTAAGCACAAGTCGAACGCTGAGATAGTGACGATTGGCTTCTGCCTAAACCAGTATCAACCAGCGTTTCTGCTCCCAAAATGTCATTGCATTTCATATGTAAATTGTTGCTTGAATCTTGAGGTGGCACAAACGGGACTGAACTTTCTTTCACTGATGTTAAACCCGGTTTCGAAAACTCCGGTAACATCCATTTAAGAGTTACTAAATTTGAGTTTTCTTGTTCGTCCATTGTAGGCAAGGTCGAAAACCTTTTGGAAAACGCTCTCCTATACAATGATAGAAGATATTTCTCTAAGTATGCAACTTCCATTTCCAAAACAGCAATTTCTTGTATGAGATCACCAGCAGTCTGTACACAAGCAAGAATGACGAGCAGTATTTAAGTCGCAGCAATTTAAGGAAAGAAGAAAAGAAGCTCATGAAAGTAGTTTACTTGATTTCATTTTTCAATTCTCGCAAGCACATTATTAGAAGTTAATATTGAGTTTTTCATGTTAAGCTAACACCATAAAGAACTAAGAGAACACCTGGTTAAGTGATTTATACGTTGGATCGTCCAAGAGAGGTTGGTAATTCATTGCTTTCTCGAGTGCAGTCCTTACTACAATTTGGTCCTCCAGTTGTTTCTGAAGCTGTAAAATCTACAAAAGAGTGAGCAGGGCATCACAAACCAGTTATAAATGTGCGTTTCTGATCGGAAAACGTCTTATTGCAAGTGTTTTTTTGTTAAAAATAAGCTGCACAACATGAAAAGTAACAAGATTACCTCTTCTTCCAAAAAAATTTGAGCCTCGCCTGGGGGCAATTGTCTCTTCTTGGCTTCAAAGTTTTTCAAATGCTCCATTGCCAGAGTGAGATAACTTCCAACTCAATACGGAACTTGATTGATGAAATTTTCACCAAAACAAATTGGTAAGAAGCCTTGCAGGTGCTGAACTTTTCTTCCCCAGCTCTGACCTGGTTTAATCATTAAAAGTCGAAATCCAGACTATTTTAAGCTAAACATTTATTGAATTAGACAAATTACACTTCAAAGCTCCCATTTTAACTCTACAAGATATGGCAAAAGTTTTCTCACAGTACAATCCTGGGAGAACTAACACTATCACAAGGAGTAAAACTAGCCATAGTCGACAAGAAGACGGCTATCACTCTATGAAACTCTAGATCCTCAGCTGAGTGAAACTGTCCCCCCGACCGCCCAGCCTAAGCGCCTTAGCGCGAAATAGCAATAGAGCATTTCCTAATCTACTATTGTGAAGGCATAAATAAATCTCCTAATATCATGGAGCAGGAGATTAAAGGCATGGACATTCCCAGTGCCGCCTTAGACAGTTATTCTTTTAGCAGTTAAGTGACTCGGATCAACTACACATGACGATTCTTGCACATTTTGACAATTCAACTAATAAGAACCTTTTTTCAATTACTCATATCAAAAAGGAGATTGATTATAAGACCTAAATCTTTCCAATTTTTCTTGCAAATGCCTTAGGGTAAAGATTAGACAGTTTATAAAGGTCAAAAAGGAAAAGAAACGTACCTTTGTTAGGACTTGAAATGTTCAAATCCATGTATTGTAAAAATTTGAAATGATGCAAATTCCTTCATAAATATAGAATCCCAACAAAAATCTGTGACCCCATTCGTGAAATTTCTCTGGAACAACATTAAATGCATTAACTGCATATCCAACAGAAAGTGACAAGGGTTCAAACAGAATAAAAAAGTGTACAAGAAAGGTCCAAGAAACATTAAATTTGGTAACAACAAGAAATATGCTGCTGCATCCTCCGTTTCTGAGAAATAATGGTACATTTCAGTAATAGAGAGAGAGAATTCACACGCAGACATACACACTTACATGAATTCTTGGAAAGCTGAAACAGAATCTACCGTTGTAATGACCAAATGGGTTCAAAATGATATTGTCAATTTGAAAGACAGTAACTTAATCTTTTGTAAGTACCACTCCACATTCTAATTTATAGCAAGTCTCAAGCCATGTAATTGTTTACACCAACATACATGTTATACGCTGGACTACGTGAAGCTTAATTGTATTGTACACTCATCTTCTTCTCGAAGATGGATTGAGAGAAAGTTTAGTTGGAAACTTACGCACCAGTGAGTGAGCGTGACGTTATGTTTTGGTTTGGTTTAGCCCCCATTTGATCCCCTTTAAAATTATAATTTATTTTTCTCTCAATTCTTATCAATTACACATCTTTCAATAAAATAATATTACATGTTAACTCAATTTTTTTTTTTCCCTTTTTTAACCATACATTCTTCAAAAAAATACTTCAAAAAATTATGATCTAAATGATTGGGGACAAACGAGGCTTAATATTATCCTTGTAATAAAGGGGTTACTGTTTATTTTTTGACTGGTGGGTCAGCAATGGCACCTTTGGTGTGGCTTTTGGAATGTAAGTTCAAGGCTTTTTTGTGCATTAAAAGAAGTAAATTTGGTGGACTTGGCTTTACATTCAAGAAAGTCCATGGGCATTTAATGCCTGGGTATTGAAAAGGGGACTCTTTGTATATATGGCCAAAGCAAGGGGTTCAGGGAATATTTGGGGTCATTTATCTTACCTCTGCAATATCACACCATATTCTAGCCAAAATAAAGGTCATCCAAAAAGTATGATTCTTGTGATTAGTGATACCATAGGAAAGTTTAACATTAAAGTTTCTTTTATGATTCAACTACATTAATTTTGTAAAACATTTGGTGATTAAAAACGAGCTAATCATAAGTTGCCAGTGCTAAACATAATTTAAAGATGGATTATAGTAATCTTAGGCCGAAACCCATCTGTCATTCATAGAGAAAAGAAAGATTCTCAAGAACTTTTTTGATATGATTCATGTATTTCTCACGTCCAATAGTCGGAGCATTGAGGAATATCCAGAAAGACATTTAAAAAATCAATATGATTCTATCTCCTTGTGCTAGAAATCATAGATGAATCTAATTCAACTTCATCTCCAATGCATTTGAATTATCACATTCTCCTTAAAATAATTTCCGTGCTAGTCATGTAAAAACTACAAGATCGAGATCAAACAGATAATCCGCCAGTACAATTAACTAAGGTTATTGGCACACCAATCGTGCATTGAATGGTTGCATACAGTTGGGAAAAAAAAGTAGTTTACATTGGGGTTTGAAGTACATAAAAAGGGCTGAAAGTTGAAGGTCAAAACAAAAGGAAAAAGGAAAGTTTCAAAGTGAGATGACACCTCCTCGTGTGTGCTTTGCCACTGCCAAATCCTTCCTTATCTATACAAAAATTAGAAGATCAAAAAGGTTCAACATTTTGTCAGTCACAGCTCACAAAAAGTTTAGTAAAGGAGATTTTTTAACTTTTTCATAAGACTTTAGTGCTAATGCCTAATTGCAAGCCAAGAAGACCATATTCTTGTTAAAGTTCAGACACTTTCAACTTACATTTGCCTCTGTCAACTAATAAATATTGTAAATTGTTTATAAGACACCAATATGAAAAGGTGCACCCAATAGAGGAAAAAGGTTTTGTATCTTTTCGGCATCAAGAAAATTGACGGATGAAAAATTTACAATTAAAACGAGATTTTTGTAACGGCTAAGTTTTAAGTTTTTAATTTCTTATAAAGGCATATCTTGTCGTCCTATGTACAAATTGGGTTTGAAGTTGAATATATTTGAAGTACTCGTAACAATCATATAAGAGAAGGCGCTCCATCTTGGGCAATCCTGGAAGAGGATGACAAAATTGACTTGAAGAGGGACAGATTGTAACGACTACTTCTGAGTCTCATATTATTTATAAAAGGTTTTATATATATGAAAACTCTCTCATAAAATAATGTGCTTGACTTGATAGAGTTCATGTAATTTTGTCATTGTTGGGAGATGAATCAACAGGATGTCAGGATTGGCATATCAATGAATTTTAATTAGTAAATAATTGATTATGATTAGCATTAATTTTCAAAAAGAATCTGCCAGACATACTATCTTAACATTTAGTACATAGATTACTTGGAATCAGTGTGCAAGAGATTTTATTTATTCTATCACAATGCAAATTAATTGATTTTTGTGCAGATTAATTAAAAAAAACTGTATAGAAGGTCAAACAAACATCAGAAAAATGACATATTTAATTAAATTCTGCTTCAAATAAATAAAAAAAATCCACAAAAAGACACCAAAGCGAACTTTCCAAAGGCGTTCCAGTCAACGAAGTCAATGCCCGAAGTAGGGAATCTACGAAGCTCTTTAATTCAGAAAACTATTTTCTAATAATTATTATTTTTAAATAAAGAAATTCCCACTTGAGCTGATGGGCCTAATAGGCCAATAGGCCAAAATATATCATGGCCCAAGAAGGAATTGTGTGTACCAAAATGGGTTGATCAAAAGAGAAAGTCAGGAAAAAGTTGAAACATTCTAGGAATCAGTATCAACTCGGGAAAACTTGACCTCTAGCACGTTGCAAATTTGTATATCAGTTCACTTCAGAGCCTAAGTGTTAGGAATATTGAGCTTAATTCCACCTAATAAAATCGACTTATTAGGGGAGGATTGTCATCATCTTATTAAGTGGATCATTTATAATATCCAAAACAATATAGGATTCTAATAATGTATGAGAAAATGTCGTTACCCATGGTGTGTACATGGATTTCAGAAATGTTTTGAGGTTGAAAAGCAGAAATGTAAAAAAGAGCGATTATTCAACACTTGCAGTAATAACTATANCCTAACTCTAATACCATGTTAGGAATATTGACCCTAACTCCACCTAATAAAACCGGCTTATTAAGGGAGGATTGTCCTCACCTTATTAAGTGGATCATTTATATTTTCTCAAATAATGTGGGATTCTAATACTAAGTGTTTGTTTGGCATAACTTAGGGTCCGTTTGATTGCAAATGTGGAAAATTGGTGAAAAGAAAATGTTTTACAGGAAATTGAATTGCCTAGAAATTGTTTTACTGGGAATTGTAATTAATTGTGTTTGATTGGTATAACTTTTCACTTGAAAAATATTGAAAGTTTGGTGTCTGTTTGGCTTCGTTTTTCATGGATGTCGTCCATAAAAGTGATGATTTTTTCTACTATTGGATCTGGAATTTGTTTCAATTGCAAAAAATAAAAAAA